AATTGCCATAATTTGCTGCTGGGTCTCAGTTTGCAGAAATCAACAAGCACGGGTTTTTGTTTTTTTCAAGTGTGAAGATAAATCTAGTTGCTGATGCCTATAGATCACATTATTGTCAAAAGAGCTGGTTCAAAATAAATACATTTAGGGAATACTGAAACCCTTTCCTATAAGGAAAAACAAACAAATAAAAAAAGATGGCTAAGTGGGCAATGAAGAGATATGATAAAGGAAGGGTACAATCCAGTTGGTTTGGTCTGTAAAGATTTTTTAAAAAATCCAGGAGGGTATTTTTTAAATTTCAAAATTATTTGACATATGGATCCATGAGTGGGGACTAGACATATCCAGGCAGGGGCAAAGGATGGGGCATCCTTTTGCTCAGCACTATGCTTAGAAGAGCAAAGGGGCAGAAGCGCAGCGTCACAAAAATTACCTCATATTAGCAAGCCATTTAGAGACTAACTATGGAGAGATACAGCAGGTGACCCCCTGTTTGTGAGAAATTATCTCTAAGTCCATTGGTCCTTCTGACCCACCTTCCTGTGTTTGGCTTGCCTCACACTTACCTGCTCATGAATTAGATGCTACCTCACTTAGATAATGCTCCAGTGATGGGGGTATAAGAATTTTCTACAGGCTTCAGATGGATATATTGAAAAGATTATGTGTTTTTATTTGTATCTGTGATAATACTAAACTCTAAAAAGAAATTGAACAGTAACTTCAGCAGACCAAAAAGTAGCCACTACCCTAGATATATATATATATATTTAGCTGTAGTTTTTGTTTTGCATTATTAAGTTTTTAAGTACATTGTTGTATTGTACACAACTGTCATGCACAACTTGAGGCACTGATCTTACTTCTCCATCTGCATGGAGGCTAAGAGTGATCAGACTTACACTGCAGGATTGGGAATAAGGATTATAACAATTATTAATGAATAAGTTTGAATATAAGAATTAGAATAAATTAGAATAAATCAACAAACAATAAAACAAATATTATTTGATTCTCTGTTTTTAAATTTAGGTTGCAAAATGGCTGACACTCTCTTAAGCAATCTGGACAAACTGCTGCTACAACTTGGTAGGTTGGAAAGTTTCATCCTAAAAAATAGTCACCAAAAGAAATTTGTAACTTTTTATCCCAGGTATTCAAAATTTTAGAATTATCTGAATTAATTGTACAGATGGCCCTTATATAATCTCTTTATGAGAGGATGTAACATTACATAGAAATGACACTAGTTATAGTCTCATTAAAGCATTTCTTGGTGCAGACAATGGTTTAAGAAATTACATATGGAGCAATGTTGTTTGGAGCAGAATAGAATTACAACTAAAGATCATTCAGATGTTTGCAGGTCAGATCTGTTAACCCTGAACTTTTCTATTACTTCTCATTTTCAATTTGCTTTTTCCTACTCCCCATTTCTATTATTTTGCCTTCTGGCTTATTTAAATGGATATTACAAGGGGACGCTGTAAGCAAGAAAAATAATTCTAAACTGTAATAGTAAAAGTAATTTGGAGATACAGAATTAGAGCCAGAATAAATAGGGAAAATTGCATACTATGATTCAACTACTTAAATTCATGTAGAATGGCAATAAAAATTGACCAAACTATGACTGAAAATGCATATTTCTTTTTTACATTTAAATTTTATTTATATCAATACAAAACATGTATATATCTTGTTCAGTTTTTCAGCTTGAACAAGCATCTTACTCAAAGGAATATGAAAGACAACAGATACAGCGTGAGTATATTTTATGAATATATAAAAAGGATGTAATATTATAGCAAAACATCATGCCATGGTTCAATTCATGGATTTATTTTTACTTTTGCAGACTGAGTTTCATTTTGAATATTTAATATTTCATGAATATTTAATATTTCATATTATAGAATATTTTATATTCTTACTACTTTTCCCATAGCAGCTTTATTTCTGCCTTCCAATATCTTAGATCTATTATCACTTTAGTTATTTTCTCCCTTGCAATTTTCTCCCTTACATTTCTGCATGTGATATCATAATACAAATATGAAATGCTAGAGATATTTTATCATTTCACAAAATAAGTTTTGTCATTTTGGTGTCACTGTGGTTGGGAACAGATGCTTATGTCTATGCTATGTCACAAAGTGTTTGTTTCAATCTTAACTTCTTTATATACCAACGTAAAAAATTATTTTCAGTATATACTGCAAACATTTTGAGGGAAAAGAGTGAAATCTGCCACCTACATGAAGAAATAAATAAAAGTGAGGAAGCAATTCTTAGCTTATGCAGACAAAATAATACTAATAAAGAGAACTGTAACATGTAAGTATATTGTATATACTTATATTTATTTATATAAACCATTTTTATGCTTTTCTTTTTACTTTATTCTTCTCTTCACTGGAAAAATTCTCAAAATCACTAAAAAATAATCAATAAAAAGAATTGTCTATAATAACACAGTGATGTCTAAATGATGCCAAGTGATCAATGACATCATCACATAATAATGCAATTATGCTATTATGTCACAATACAAGTTACAAATATGTAAGTCATGACATTTATGCAATGATGTCATATCTGCTTGCACTCCTTAAAATTGCTTCCAGATTGCACCCAAAGGAAATTGTACAAAGCTGAAAATATGCAGAGTAATGTAACTCAAATCATCAAGGGGTTAAAACAATTTTCCTTTGAAGAATGTTTGCAATATTGGAGGCATAATCAGGATAAAGCAGTTAAAGGAAAAAATGGAAAATAGCAAACTGATAACATTTAACTTGTCATTCAAAAATGCAGTGCACTAGAACATAATAACAGAATTGGAAGGGACCTTGGAGGTCATTTAGTCCACCTCCCTGTTTGAGCAAGAAACCCTATATCATTTCAGACAAGTAGTTGCCCAGTCTCTTCTTAAAAGCATCCAGCGATGGGGCACCCACAATTTCTGAAGGCAAGGCATTCCACTGGTTAATTGTTCTCACCTTTAGGAAATTTCTCCTTAGTTCTAGTTTGCTTCTCTCTTTGATTAGTTTCCATTCATTGTTTCTTGTCTTGCCTTCTGATACTTTGGAAAATAGGTTGACCCTCTCTTCTTTGTGGCAACCTCTTAAAAATTTGGAACACTGCTATCACGTCTTTCCTAGTCCTTCTTTTCACTAGACTAGACATACCCAATTCCTGCAACCATTCTTCATATGTCTTAGCCTCCAGCTACTAATCATCCTTGTTGCTCTTCTCTGCACTCTTTCCAGTGTCTTAACATCTTTTTTATATTGTGGTGACCAAATATAAAAAAGATCTTGAGACTCTGGAAAGAGTTCAGAGAGAATTACAGTATATTATAGCTTTGTTACTTCGGACAATTCTTATGCTGGCTCAACAAATAGATAATTATTATTATTTTAAACTTACTGATCTAGCTGGAAACCAACATATGTTATTTTGAAAAAACATGAAGAATCTTTACAGAAAGAACTTCAGAATTACCAAGAAGCAACGGAAAAAGACAAGTATGCAAAGACATTTGAACATTTGAAAGACATTTCATTTTACGACTTAAATATCTGTATTATGTTTACTAACCAGAATAGTATAGAGTTTTTAAAATCAAACATATTTTTATTAAATTAAGAAAAATAAAATTAATAAAATATATATAGTACAGTGCTAAAAGATTGAATACATAAGACTGAATCAATCAATGACAGAATTATTCTGAAATAATATAAAATATTATTTTAAGGGGAAAGGGTGATTTACAAACCCACATTATGGGAAAAAAAACATTGAAATTACAGCCTTATATCTTTTGGCAATAGGGATACAGTCTTTTGGCAGACTGTATTCATGATATATAATCTGCCTTTTAGGAATCTGAGAGCTGAAGAGCAATGTCCAATGATCTATTTTATATCCAGTGACCTACTAGCCATATTTTGTTAAATGATTAGAAATAGTTATATTCTGAATAATTTGATGTTCTGTTCATTAATAAATGGAAGTGAAAATTGCATTTGAGAACAATATAAAGCATTTTTTCATGGGCAGTTAAATTAGGATGCCACATATGTTAATAGTAATAATATGTATTAATAATAAATACAAATTGTCAGAAATATTCACAGTTAATTAAATAATAGCATATGGTGTTAATATTGTTGCAAAACTTCAGTTGAACAGAGTGTATATTGTAAAATGTGCTAATCTTTTGAAAATACAATTAATCACCAGTGAAAAATGACTGTATTTTCTTGTTTTAAAAGAAAAATGTACCAGGATTATATGAATCAATATCAAGAAGTTTTCAGGCAGCACCAAGCAAAATATTTAGAAACTACAATTGCCCGAGAATATTATCGTGAAAAAAAAGAATATGAAGAAATTCAAGATCAAGTTCAACAAAATTCCAAATTACTTAAGCAGAAAGAAGCTGAATTGATAGATCTTCACAGTAAAATATGCTTTAAATAATTTTAATTTCATTTATGCAGAGTCTTTAGTTATGCAGACTATGAGTTAAAATAAACATAAAAGTTAAATTATTGTTTCAGAATATTTTCCCTTATGGGCATATTTGAAATGGCATTTCCCCCTGAAATTAAAAGCTATTGATAAAGATTGCATTAATCTGAAATCTGTCATATTATGCTTAATGTGTCTGTTTGCTTTTTTTTTAAAAGACTACTTATTTGGATTAATACTGTATTTTATACATAGATTAATTAATTTTTCATTCTCATAAACTTAATCTCTACATATTCAGTTCATAAACACTTTCTAGAACTGCTGATTTGGGTTTCTAATTTTACATTTTTTCCAAAATACCATGAGGTTTGTAAGTATGCATAAATGTATCTATTTACATCTCCCAAAACTAATATGCCAAAAAAAAGAAAAAAACTGGACAGGATTGGTATGAAGTAGAATTGTTCTGAGACATAAAATTTAGGTTTAACTAAAATTGGAAAGAATTAGCAAAATTCATATACTGAATGTGTTCAAAGAAAAAAAAGATTATCTTAATAAAAGAAGAGATGGGACAACAACCATTAAAAGATGTATACCTGAGTATCATGAATATTGTGTTACTAGACATAAATTCATAGAAACTAGATTGGTGGTGATAGCTTTCTGAATGATTTTTAGTATATTAGGAAGGAATTGTGGTTCCTGATAGCAATAGCAATAACTCTCACCCACTCAGTAAAACTGCTATGTGAGCAAAATCATATATGGGTGTATTAACTAATATTACTGCTATTACTATTATTAATAACTATTTCTACTAGAACAATAGAATAAACAGCTTGGACCGTTTTCCTTCTTTGCTGTTTAATAAGATGCAGAACAGTTATGGGATTAATTCATTACCGTCTTTTTTCCAGAACCTGGTCCTTTCCAGTCACTTTCTTCATGGGCCACACATATGTATCCATTCAACTCCTATTGATTCTATCGTGATAGTTGCAAGCTGTTATGTCAGTTGATAAGCACATGTAGCAATAATGTATTTTGCCATTTAAGAAACTAACTAAATTAGAATGACGAGAAGTAATTGTGGACAATGCTCATATATTCAGGATACGTAAGTGTAATCAAGCTCCATATAGGGAAATAGGAAATACTAGTTTAAATTTGGTTTAAAATGATTCTACTTAGTTAAATAAAAGACTATCACAATAATTAGTTATATATTATTTTTAGAACTACTAAATGTAAATTGTTATCCATCCATTATACATCGTGCATCTTAAATTTTGGGGATAGAATTTAAAGCAAATTTGGCTTATAGCCTATGTCTAAAAATGGACTTATGCCCTCACTATTCTTCATCTCTCCCCCTATATGTCTCTAGTTTTGTTTCAGTAGCTCCCTCAGTCCAATAAACCAATTTGAGATTTGAGGAGGGATTACACAAGAGCAGAGTAATTTGTTTTATTCCTGGATACTATTCTATCAGAGTATAATACCAGTGTACATGCATTCAATACATTGATGCAATTTTATTTCATGTTTTATTTGAAATGGAATTAACATCACTAACTTGGTCCCGGATTTATAGAAGCTAGCAGAACTTCATCTTTTCAAATGTTTTATGTAATGTTTTCTAAACTTTTGAGCATTTAATATACAAATTATACCATGGCCACTAGACTGCACTGTAGCCTAATCCTCAATGTAATTTGAAATACTAGGACCAATTGTTGGAAGTCAATTTCACATAATTAAAATGCTATATGAAATTAACACAATATGTTGCATGTTAGTTACAAGTTAGCAATTTTTAAAATATTTGAATGTGTCTTATATTGTATACTTTGGGGGGTAATAACAAATGATTTATCAAGATGTTAATCACAAGATGGTAAATTTGGATGGAGAATAAAACTATCCAAATTATGGAGAATCAATTCATTGATTTCAGGTATTTAAATGAAAATGAACTCTTCGTAACTATGAGCAGAATTGTGGTCCCTTTTAGGTTTTTATTTGAATGTTAAATTGTATGTTTTATTGACTCCTTAACATATAAAAGTGCTTCTCTGCAGCAGAACACAAAGGAAACTCTTACTCATGCAGCAGTTCTCAAGCAGCAATCAGTTGAACTTGTCAAAACTGCAAAAGAGCTAGAAAAGAAAATGAACTACTTCAAAGAGGTAAGTGCTTATGTTGCAGTCTATGTGAACATGTCACTGCATCAGATCACAGTGGAAAAGTAATATATTAGAGCATGGGTGTCAAACTCGCCACGTCACGTTATGTGTCGTGACGTATCGTGACTTTTTCCCCGCATTGCGGGACCTGGGGTGGGTGCGGCCTCCACATGATGCAACCGGTCCATGGACCGGCAGTTTGACACCCCTGTATTAGAGACTGGAGCGTCTGAAGTATTTCTGAAGGTGGGAATCTAATCTAAGCAGTGATTAATGAATAACTATATTTATAACTATAACAGAAAGGAAATGTATTTATAGGAAATACATTATAGGGATAAGTGAAGCCTAACACCTAGTTAAGTACATTCTGCCAGGAGAAAAGTCAAAGACTATTTGGTTTGTGCATGTATGCATGGAAAGTTAGACAGAAATAAGTGACTTCAGATTAGCTGTGTGACTCACAGGGTTAGGGTGTTTTTTTTTTTGTTGAGGAAAATAGGAGGAGGAAGATGCTCCTCTATCTTGAGTTATTTATAAATGTAATAAAGATGGGATAAAAATAAACAAATAAAACATTTGCACAAAATAAATGCATTTTATCTTTTAGCATTTAGGCAATGTTACACAAGATCAAAAGCATACTGAACAGATGGAAGAGGATTCTAATGTGATAGAGGAAAGAGCAAAAAATCAAGAAAGAAAGAAGGATTTTGATGAAAGGTGGCATTTTAAAATCAAATTTATCACACTAAAACATGAGTTATAAAGAGGTTACTGAATGTTGAAATCTTTACTGTCCAAAAGCTTTCCCCCTTACAAATTCATACTATTACAAATTGTATCTGCTTTACTTACTATTTTGCAGAGATATTTCTGTTCTAACAGGTTTAAATACAGATTTTCAATATAATATTTACACATAAATTGACTAGTGCAAAAAGGTTCATATTATACTTTCCTAATGTGAAAGTTCCCTTGCAGTGATTACCTTAGAGTGGAATAGAGTCATCTTACATTGCCTAAAAAATATAAAAAATAGCTACCGTATGTGATCCTGGGAAAAGGTGTGACTCAGTGGTGGGATTCAGCTGGTTTGTACCACTTCAGCAGAACCGGTAGCTACTTTTTGTTGCCCAGGCCCAGAATGGACTTCTGGAAGGGGCATCCACACAGAGAACCGGTTGTTCACATATTTGAATCCCATCACTGGTGTGACTGTTCTAAGAAGTTGTTGTTGGCTCCTAGATCAAAACATTTGCAGCAATAATGTACTTGTTTTCAAAAAGAAAAGTTTCTGTTAACAGTTTTAGTCATAGGTAGGTCAATAATTCTGTAACAATTTGGTATTTTTCCTATGCTTCTCATATTTCTATTAAGCAAGTTGCTCAATAGACATTATCCAGTGAGGACATTAGATTAGATTATCCATTTTTGTATATTCTTATCTTTTATTTCAAAGTAAAATAAAAGATGTGTCTCATATATTTCCATGTTTCTTTCATTGATTTAAAACTTTCTTTCAGCTTGTTCAAAGAGAGTCAACATTTATTGAATGAGAAAGAACACACATTTAAACCATTTAATCTACCTAGCATTTTTCAGAAATTAGTTCAAAGTGTGCCAACTGTGAAACCACTATTTCAGATCACAGACAGAGGTAACAAAATATTAAGAGATTTAGCTGTGAGATTTTGAGGTATATACTGTACATCTGAATATTGTAGAATATATTAAGGTACTTTCCTGCATAATTTGATATCTTTGTTGCAGGAAATGCAGGTGTTTCTATATCAGTCATACTGGAACTAGTTAGTCAAATACAACTGACTATTTTTTGTTTTCTATGGTGATATGCCATCTTTCCCTTTCAAGGGAGAGAGAGACACTGTCCTGCTCTGAGCCCATAGAGCTCTGTTTTGCCCTATTTCTCCTCTTACAAGAAATAAATGTCACCTCCTTTGTGGGCATACATTTCCAAGAGCCTGGCACCATTTTTTAACCTAGATGTCATCACTAGCTCAAACTGAACATGGACAAGATTATTGTATTTCTGAAATCTAAATTGACACAGAACTTTTCTTAAAACCTTTTATCAGTATAGCCATCAACATTTGTAATTTTTATTTGATGAATATTCACAGAATCCATCTGTTCTTCATGGCTGAGATTGCATAGCTGCTGATTCATGCCATGATTTCTCTCATCTGAATAATTCTAGTAGAATGCTGGGCAGATTATATCCATATTTTTCTGTTGTTCTGAGCCTCACTGGACTACCCTTAGTGCCCTCTGTTTCTACTGCCTATACTAGCTGGATGTTTGCAGAAGGTCAGCACAAAGTTGTATCAGCATGAAATTTGTAATCCCTACAGCTGATTCATGTCCTACTGCTCCAGCCTCTGCCTTGAGTCATTGCAAACACCTGATTTCTCTCCTAACATGTTTACAGGTTATCTTTTAATCATGTTGGAATAAGGGGAAAACACTGCGTTAACATTGCTTCAGCTAAAAAAAAATTAAGCCTGGAGATAATACCAAAAAGGTGTTGCCAGGACAATTTTGTGTTATGGTGGGTGCAAATAGTGAAAACCCTACTCAAATATTGTAATTTTTTTTACTATAAGATGACTACTACTATGTGATTACCCTTTTGATGTCACTTTTATATTATTCCTATGTGAGAATCAGCTGAATAATATAGAGTTCATAATCATATATAATACAGGTGCAGAAAAGAAAGAGGACTTGGCAGGACAGTCCATAGTGACTAGTATGTATTTCAACCATGTAGAAAATGAAAATCAGGTATGCAAACAAAAAGCAGAATGAATAATATGCATTCATGAGTTCAGCACAATAAAATGTATTTAAAAATATTGTAGTGCATCTAAAGATAGTTTTGCAAAAATCATTCTGTTTTAATTCTATTGGGATTCTTTTTGTCTAAGTATGAGCAGAACTATCTACTGTATGAAGTCCTTTAGATCAAATGCATTTTGTTTCCTTTTAAATACAGTACAGTATAGTACACAATTTCATATAAAAACAGGAAAGTTACTTAAAAGATAAACAAGGTCCAAACATCCAATGTTCAATTCTTTAAGACATGCTAAAAATAAAATAAATAAAAACAATAAAAACAAACAAAAATACTGGGATTTTACTACAACAATTTTCCTTCCAACAAAAAGGGTAAGTTAGAAAGAATGTAGTAGCAGGGAGGAATAAGAGTCACTTGAGTATTATTTTTAGTGCTCTAGGAGAATGAATGAATCTTCTATCAGAATTTTATACTCCTCTTAATTTGAAATACATTTTTTTTGTTTTAGAAATGTCATAATTCAGAAACCAAGATTGTAGAAACAGATTCATCTATAACAAATGATCCCAAAGAAATATCAAATAGGTAATTTTTCAGTCATCCTACCTTCATTAATAATATGTAGTTTATGAAAATATATGAAGATAATTCTGCTGATGTAAATTATTTTCTGAATTGTTTCAGATTATTAGCTAATCAGAAGAACACACTTACTAAACAGTGCTTTAACACTGAAAATACAAAAGGTAAAAACTGTTCTATTGCTTGTGCTTCCAGAATGTTGAATTCCAATATTGCATGATCACTTCCCCTCCAAGGTTCCTGTGGCTTCAACACCTATCATTTCATCTCTGTTAGTAAGGATTAGATTGAATATGGCTAATCCCCTATTTCCCTTTTCTACTTTTTGGGAGACAAAGTTGTCTGCTAGGTTTGTCAGGAATCTGTTTGATCTTCCACTTGGTGCAGAATTTGTCTCCCAGTTGATGTCAGGATAATTAAAGTCCCCCATTACTATTGTGATGTGCTTCATACATACCTTAGTTAGCTGACTAGCAAACAGTTCATCTATTTTCTCTGTTTGGTTGGGTGGCCTATAGTATACACCTATGGCAATGTCATTTCCCCCCCTTTTATATTGACCCAAATGCATTAAGACAGTTTTCATCATTGTTGTGCTCTATTTCTGTAGAGATGTAGTTATTTCTTATATAGAGAGCAACTCCACCTCCTCTTTTGTTTGGTCTGTTTCTTTTAAATAATTTAAATCCTTCTACCTGTGTGTTTCATTTGTGGGTTTCATCCCACCGTGTTTCCTTAATGGCAACAATATCATATCTGCCCTCATTTACCTGAATTTCTAGTTCACCCTGCTTACTGTTCATACTCTGTGCATTGGTGTATAGACATTTGAGTCCTTTATGACTGACCCTGTGTTTATTTTCTACATAACCTGTGTGGTGCCTGAGTTCCCCTACTTTTTTACCACCTGTTTGGTTAGTGCACTTTGTGTGGCACTCACTATTAAAAGCTTGATTTTGCTTGACAGCAAGATTGATATTCTTGTCCACATACACATTTATGTTACATGCACTGATAACCCTATAATTTTTAGATTGCCGGGGACAATTAACTCACTGTCCCTGTTGTTAAATATTCCTCCAGAAAATTTGTGAATTTATTGCCAAGTAACTCAGTCCCTTTGTTGGATGGATTCAAACCATCTCTTTTGTACATTTTTTCATTGGACCAGCTACAGATATTGTGTAACCAAAGCCTTCCCCTTTACACCATTCCTTTAGCTACATATTGAATTCTGCTATATGCTGGCCTTTTCCATTTTGCTCCTTATACACTGGTAAAACCTCTGAAAAATTAAGCCTACAGCCTATCCTGCTAAGTTCCTGCCCCAAGCTCTGGAAATCATTCTGAAGAGAGTACATCTTTTTGGGACAGATCGTTAGTGCCAAGATTCTGGGCCCAGTGCTCTTCAACATCTTCATCAACGATTTGGACGAGGGGATAGATGGGGAAATCATCAAATTTGCAGACTACACCAAGCTGGCAGGAAGAGCCAACACTCCAGAAGACAGGATTAGGATACAGGAGGATCTGTACAGACTTGAACACTGGGTGCTATCTAAGAAAATGAAATTCAATGGTGAAAAAAGTAAGGTTCTACATTTAGGCAAGAAAAACTAAATGTACAGGTATACAGTAGTATAGGGGATACCTTGCTCAATAGTAGTAACTGTGAGAGGGACCTCGGAGTCCTAGTGGACAATCACTTAAATATGAGCCAGCAGTGTGCTGCAGCTGCCAAAAAGTCCAACACAGTGCTGGGCTGCATTAACAGAGGGATAGAATCAAGATCATGTGAAGTATTAATACCACTTTACAATGCCTTGGTAAGGCCACACTTGGAATACTGCATCCAGTTTTGGTCACCACAATGTAAAAAAGATGTTGAGACTCTAGAAAGAGTACAGAGAAGAGCAACAAAGATGATTAGGGGACTGGAGGTTAAAGCATATAAGGAAAGGCTGCTGGAATTGGGTATGTCTAGTTTAATGAAGAGAAGGACGAGGGGGGACATGATAGCAGTGTTCCAATATCTCAGGGGCTGCCACAAAGAAGAGGGAGTCAAGCTATTCTCCAAAGCGCCTGAAGGCAGGACAAGAAGCAACGGGTGGAAACTAATCAAGGAGAGAAGCAACCTAGAA